CATCTCCACCGTTTATCTTCAGCTCCAACTAGGCGCGATCATGAGTCTATACTGTTATATTGTCGCTGTTGCTTCAGAAGTCCCACATCCAGGGCCGTTTAGTCCTAGCAAAACTCTGTCATTGTCATTGTCCCTATCTTGCGGCCTATCATACAGGTTCGCATTGAGACGAGGTCGTTTTAGAACGTTTAGTAGATAAATTCCTACGTTTCGCCTCTAATCTGAGCATCAGGTCGTTGAGTAAACGACTTCTTAGTAGCAGCGCAAATCAGCAGCCATGACGACATTTCGACATGGCTTTGTCCTCGCGGTTCTGCTGCTGCTCGTCGTCAGTGTTCTCCCACCCACGATAAACGCCGCACGACTGATTTCGGCGCCGTCTGCTTGCAGGTGTGTTTTCAAAGTGACACAACTTGTCTTTTCTTCCACCAAACCCTCCGGCTCCCTTCTTCCACCAAACCCCTTCCCTTTCTCCAACCCTCCGCTCACTTTCCCTCCCGTCCTTCCACAAAAAATCCAATCGATTGTTCCTCTCCTCTCCCAACGCCACAGCCGGTCCCTCTCCTCTTCTATCACCTCCCGACTTCTCCCCATGGGTCCTCAAGTCGCATTCCTTATCCTTTTTCTCTTCGCCGTTTTCGTGAATGTTCGCAGCAAGCTCCGTTGGCCTGAGGTGGTGGGGATGACGGGAACCAAGGCTCGCGATTACATTCTTGCCTCGGAGCCGCAGTGTCGCTGGAACGTGAAACTCGTCCCTGCCAACGGATACACCACTGGCGAATGTCGCCGAAACCGAATCCTAGTTTTTCTCGACAATCGTGGGCGTGTCCGGATGGTGCCAGTAACATGCGTTAAGCCTTCACAAAGATAACTCCCAGTACCTCTGTTCTGAGAAGTGCCTCAGTCGCAGTGAAGGCACAATCACTGTTAGGGATGTAAGGGGCTGCTTGACGACGAGCTGAAGCCAACATTCTTAGTGGCCCAGTGAAGTGAACCCAACCATTTGCCTCATTTGCACGATGTGATTGCATGCTCTCTAGTGCAGTAACGTTGTGTATGGCCATTTGCCAAACATGCAGCATATCCCTGCATTAGCGCTGTTTTTCACTTTGGGATGGTGGTTTCCACGTTTGTCACACAAATGCCATGATGTACAATTAGCACATAGTTCAGGGAAGCCAGCATATCATATCATGACGTAGGGCTACAATGACTTCGTGAAAGTAACCTTGCCCTGCCAACGCCGTCAGCGGTGCGCGTGCACATGCAGCACACAGCGGTCCAGTACAGCTGCCCCGTCAGCACACAGCGGTCCAGTACAGCTGTCCTGTTGCCACAGACTAGGTCCACGAGAGTGTGCCCTGTGGGTTCGGGAGGGGGAAAGGGGGCGGAGGGCGTGCAGTGGGGAGGGTGAGTTGAGGAGAAAGTGGGTGGGGATGAGAGATGATTTATTCTGACAGTGTCACCTCGTGCCGCACAGTGGGCAGATGGGGTGTGAGTGGGCAGACGGGGTGTGAGTGGGCAGACAGGGTGTGAGTGAGAAAACGGGCTGAGTCAGCAGACGGGATGCGAGTGGGCAGACGGGATGCGAGTGGGAAGACGGGGTGTGAGTGAGCAAATGGGGTGTGAGTGAGCAAATGGGGTGTGAGTGGACATGATGTGGTGCGCTCAGCCATCGCAGGGCTCCTCCATCCATGCTAACCCATCACACCCCACTGCAACGTACCGCACCACGGGTGAAGCACTGCGCAGTCACGTGCAAGAGTGGCGGCGGTGTACAGGTGGACGCGCGTGGCGCGTGGAGGAGACGAGTCCATCTGCATGCCTCGCCTCCTTCCTGCAGCCTTGTCCCGCATCTGCCACTCACACACGCCACTCACACACGCCACTCGCACACGCCATTCGCACCTGCTGCGCTCACCTGCTCCATGCAGTCGAGCGCAAGCCTGCGTTACGCCACGTCTTGAGCAGCCGTGATGCATGTCCCCTCCCCCGCCCTGTCTCTCCCCCGCCTGGTCTCCCCTGTCCGCGCGCCCATCTACAGCCGCATCGCCCGTGAGAGCGCCACTGCTGCTGCGCGCTTGTCGTAGCTTCCCGTGCCGTGGCCGCTCGCGTATTGGCTTCCCACGCGCTCACCCGCAACCTTCCCGTCCGCTGCGCCGCTACCTTTCACTGCGTGCGCGTTCCTGACAGCCCGATCGCGCCCCTCCCAACCGCGGCGGAGTCGTCGCGGCGGCGGACATAGCGAGGGGAAGAGCGGACCCGCAGACTAGGAGAGTTGTTGAGGGGGGACGACCACGCGACGAAGCCGCAGCGTCGAGCTCTCTCGGAGCGAGGCAGCGATGATGACGAATGACGACGATGGCTGGCAGCTCCGCCGCAATAACGGTAGTCGCTGCCGTCGCCACCGCGACGGCCATGATGATAGCGACACTTGCTGGTTGAGCGCGCCACGGTACTGCAGCTGCTCACGAGCGGCCCTGACGAGGGAATGACGAACCGCGGTGTTTTCTCGCCTCCAATTCCTTCGGGCTGTGGTTTTCCCACTGCCCCTGCCGCGTGACCGCGCCCGATTCCCGCGGTCAGTTTTCCGCGACAACTCTACCTTTAGTACACTTTCTGTGATTTCGTGGGCAGGCGCAAATTTCTTGGTTAATGTTGCACACATCATTACATCTTTGTCATTATCTGTGCGCTGTCGACCACGGCTGTCCATGCAGCGGTGGCAATGATGAAATTGGCAGGGAAATATCTTGCCGTGCACGCGTGCACGAACCTGCCTCGCGTGACATTCGAGAACCCTCAATGTCAGGGTTCCAGTCAATAACAGCGTGCCACCTTGGACTTCATTTGGCGGGTTAAGCACCGTTGCATCCACGCGAGCAACGGTCTGTCCTTCCATCGTCATTACCTACTTCTCCTCGGCTTCCCCCCCGTCAACCTCTCGTGAGCACCCAGTCACCATTTCCACCATCTCGTGAGCCAAGAGTTTTGGCGTCATTGAGTCGCCACCATTGTTGCTCTTACTTTTGTTTCATCCAAGTCTATTAGCATAGCATACTCCTCTCCACATCTCTGGAAACCATCCTCCCCTGCTTACATTCACGCACTTGTAAGTTGGTCAGCGCACGATGACGCAGACTAGACAGTCCGCACGCAACAAGGGCCAACAAGCTGTTAGTAGTCAGCTCCCCGTCGCGCGGGGAAAACGAACAAACCGAAACAGGCAGGATGCGAGTGGCATAATGCCCTCTCCGAGCCCTGAATTCAAGGTCCCGGTCAAATTAGAAGGCGTTCGTAAACTACCCGATCCTGACGACATAATATCGAGGTTCGCGAAGGGAGTCAGAGTTCCAGACTGCGCGACCGATAAGCTACCTAGGTCTGTTAAGAGTGACCATTTCCCATCCCATGAGTTAAAAAACCAAGACGGCCAGCGAGCGAGGGTTACTATCATGGATGCCCTCCACATACAGGATGGCTACGAGGTGACGACGTCAACCATCGACTTTTACCACGTGTGAGTCACGTTCTGCGTGTGCGCTGTTTTACTTATTCATATCCATCGTGTAACTGATCTGTATTCTTTGTATTGTTCCAGTGTGTTGAGCCTTCTTCACCAGCACCTACCTGACGGAAAAACGTGGTTGGCTCTAAACACGCTCGCGTACCAAACCGCCACCGGGGGACAGGAGCTAGCATGCGGTGTCGACTGCAAGACTCTCTTCGAGCGCGACTACCTGTGCATCGTGGTTTTCACCAAGTAAGAGACTCTGAATTTGTGGAAGGCAGGGAAATCGTTTGCGACAACTTGACGTACCACTCCGTGGCATGCATAACCTGACTTCCTATGCTTTATGGTTGTTTGCAGAGTTCCTCATCATTTCAGCCTTGTCGTTGTGAAGGACCCCCGTTTGCTGCTGCTCAGTAAGGAGGAATACGATGCCGTGACGCCACCAGTACCGGTAACAGCAGTACTGTACGACTCCGCACGCTTGCATTTCGACATGTGCGAGGCAGTTTTCACTAACATCAACGAGTGAGTTTATGATATATCGTCATTTATTAGGGATAGATACGGTTTTTTGTGCACACGGGTATACCTCGGTTTACTAATGCCCTTTCCCTCGTGATCCAACCGCAGGCTGCTTGGGCGGGCCCTGAAAAAGGCCAACCCTGATCTGCCATGGGTGGTAGTGACAGAGAGGCTTACACGCGTGAGCAGCCGTGCTCTTGAGGTGAGCATGCCACACTTGTGTTTGCTGTCGTGATGCAACTAACATGCCGGACCCGTTTTTTTCGGTGGAATCTAAACTGGCGTTTCTTTTGTTTTCATGTTTTTTACTGCAGTACTTCGAGGTACCTCAGCAACAGAACGGTGTGGACTGCGGGGTCTACGTGTGTATGTTCACCAAGGAGCTTGTAGGCCGAGGTTTCCAATTCATGGAAGAAGGGATCCAACATCCCCGTTAGAGTGCCTCGCAATGCAGGCGCGAAATCCGTGCTGTGATGTGCGAGGCCGGCGAAGGTACTCTGCTGGAATCTCTGACACTGAAGGGGGCCGACATTTCCCCACAGAGTGAGCAGCACGGGGGGGATGACAGTGATAGCGATTGTGGAGTTGAGGAGATAAAGGAGCCAACGGTTAAGGATTTGGCGGCAGAGCAGTGTGGCCTTGCGGCGCAGCTCAAGAACCTGCATGAAGACGTAGAGTCCCTGAAAGACTCGGTTTACAAGGGAGAACAGGGGCTCGTCAAAGTGGCTGTGACTCTGTCTTCCGTCTTTACGGCCTTGCAGGGGATGGCTGCCAAAATAGGGTTCAAGTTGCCGATTGCTGGCCTGGAGGTTTTGAACACCAACGAACCCGCCATCTCTACCGCTGCAGCCCCACCGCCGCATCGTAGGCCGGATCATCATTTGAAGCTCCTGTTGACAAGAGCGGTGCTCCCCACGCCTCCTCTGCCGGTCCGTCACACACGCGTCCACCAATTTCCGCGACGATGCCAGGTTTTGTCCAAGGCCAGAGAGCCACAACCGGTGCACCAGAGTCTGCGGCGGGCCACTCTGGCCCCGCGGCCGTCACTTCTACCTCCTCGCCTGGTCAGTCGGTTGATGCTGCATGTGTTACTACAGTAGCATCGGGGCAGCCATGCGTCGCTGAGAGTTCTCTTCCACCTGCAGCGGCGCAGCCAGGTGCACCAGCTGGTGCTTTTCCATCTGCTCCAGGTCAGCCAGGTGCCTCCTCTGGTGCTCGGGAAGCTGGGGTTGGACAGCCAGGTGCAGCAGCGGTTATGCCAGCATCGGCTGGAAGTCAGCCAGGTGCTATTCTTCCAGCTGCGACTGGTCAGGCATGTGCAGCAGCCGGGATTCCTACCGCCGCGACGGGTCAGACAAGTGCAGCCGCTTGTGATCCTACCATACCGACTGGTCAAACAAGGGCATCAGCCGGGGTTCATACCGCCTCCACGGGTTATACGGGTGCAGCCGCCGGAGTTCCCACAGCAGCCGCGGTTCAGCCAGGTGCAGCAGCCGTTGCTCCGACGACAACGCAGGCGCAGCCAGGCTCGACCGCGAGGGATGCAATGGCATATGCGGGTCAGCAAGGGCCCTCTTCGAGCTCTACACATGACACTGGCTCGGGTGCCGCCAAGAAAACAACAGATGTGCATCACCTGTCACCACCAGTCCCTCGTGGTGCAACCGTGCCGCATTAAGGTTTTGGTGCACCGCCCGCGTTGAGTGTGTGGGCCACTGGAGTAGCGACACGGGTTCAAGCTGCCGCGGGGCGGCCTATGAACGCAGCTGTGGTTCAGCCAAGCAACGATGCCTGGGATATAGAGGGACCGCACACGAAACACACCATATTTCATCCAGGTGTGCTGGTGCAGGGTGCTGTACGGTCGGAAGCGGCCAATGACACTGCAAGGGCAGCTGTTGTTCAAACGGGTTCCTCTGCTTGGTCCTCAGGCGAGCAGTTTTTTGCTCTGTGTGCCTTTCCACCCGGGATGCATATCCAGGGAGCACAACCACCATGTGTGGTAGGCTATGCTCCACATGTAGGTGGTGCTCAGCCGGTCGCCGCTACATCCGCCGTGCCATCTGGGCCAATTGGCCATGCTCTGCAACCTCCGAACGTGCTTTACCTCGGTTCTGGACAGCAGCACGCTAACGTGCAACTGCCGTTGTCGTCGCATCGCCCCCTCGTTCATGATTCTGGAGCTTTCCTCGTAGCTGATGAGGCGCTCGACAATGTCAGTGGCCTACGTGGACACACATCCACCTCTCGTGGTCTGACTCTATCGGGCATGCTCTTAGGTTTCGTGCAGGGGTCGCAATCGGTACTGCCCTCCCCAGCAGCCTCCGCTTCTATGCCGCCCTCGACCCAAGGAGGCGAGCACGGCGAGGAGGCCACCTCCAGGGGGTTCACGGGCGTCACAAAAAAACAGGGCAAGGACGAGTGGATCGCAAGGATCGTCCTGGACCGCTCATCGCAGTCGCTGATTGTCATCAACAGCCACTTTGGATCTGAGTGTCGTCCAACATGTCAGAACAACTGCATGTGCCATCACCTACCCAAACATGCAAGTACATGGATATAAATGCTGCGATCAGAAAGTGATCGTAACCAGGATCACCTCAGGAAGGTTCGCACACTTCTAGTATAGTGGTGGTGGGCCCTTGATCTCAATAGCAGAGTGAATGTAAATGCTTGAGATGATAAAAACATGCAGTACAAGGAATATAAAGAAGAGTACACGGGAATTCGAAGTTCAACCGTGCGACTCCAGACAGTTACGAAAAGAATAAAGGGCCCACACCCTCCTTGGAGCCCTTTATTACATCGAAGTTCAACCGTGCGACTCCAGACAGTTACGAAACTGTCCGGGCAGAATCCTCGCCATTTGCTGCTGCCTGATGCTGTCTGCCCGACGGTCCAGATCCTTTCGTAACCATGCGACCCTTCGTGTCATTTCCGCCCATTCGTCTTCATTCTTGGTAGTGCGTACTTCAATTGCTGCGGTGAGGAGTGTACGATAGTGTTTCAATAATCACTATTCGTAACAATAAATAGTAGTACTGGGGATTTCGAATCGATCAATCTAGCCAGGTACTATAAGAGGTACATTCCCTTATTCAGATTCTCTCCCAACCGTGCGGTGCGTACAGTTACGAGCGCATTTATTCACAATACTGCGTGTTTCCCGTATATGCGTTTGGGAGTGCATAGTATTGTTTCTATCAGTTGCACAGGAAACAAACATGAACTTTCATATTATACTACACATATTTTATACCTCACGCATATAACCACTATTGTCGCGTATAGCTACTGGTACAAATTTACTGTTCCTTGTCAATCCCGCGTGAGGGGATGACAACCACATAAGACTTCTCATTGGCTATCGGCGTGATCCCGAGCTTATTAGAGGTCGCCAGGTGGCCGTCCTGACAGGTTGGATCGTATCGCTACTGTACCTGGTATGGTTGTCGCTGTCACATCACAAGCAGGTGGTGAACGTCCCGTCATTTGTCACACCAGAGACACGCGACTCTTTCACCTCTCAGGTCAACACCCCCACGAGTAGAATTACAAGGCCAAGCGCGAAGGTACCTTTCAGGTATTTCGTTGTCACATCACTAGCATCTGGTCAACATCCCGTCATATGCCCTGTTAGAGACCACCATTATTTCACCGGCGCACTTTATAACTCCACTAGCAGGCTTGTAGGCTTTTACTCATGCCCCGCTAGCCAGCCCTTTTACTTGTAACTCTCGGTAAGGACAAATCCTCTACCTTGACTCGCTTTCATCGGCCCTCATATGGCATCCAGGAAAAGCAGGCGATTGAGTGGAGCGAAGCGTGATCCATGCGCGACCAAGATATCGGAACAGCGTGCGGTAAAGTTTGAAGTCCCCGTCACAGCTGTGGTGGAGAAGAGGCCGTTCGAACCCAACGACATAGTGTCCATCTTTTCGAAATCCGTGCCTGGGTCATCTTTGGGTAGCATGCCGCGTTTACGAGCGAGCACTTTCCGACGCCATTGATCACGAATCAGATTGGGCAGAGCGCCAGCGTGACGATGGTTGATGTGCTTGGCATTAGAGACGGCTGTGAGATTCCAACGACAACCATTGACTTCCACAGCGTGTGAGTAGTCAATGCGACTCTGTACGCAGTGGACGGGCGAAGTAGTTCTGGTGCTAATGTATTTCCCCTTCTTCTCGCAGCGTTCTGAGCATCATGCATCCACTGCTACCTACCGGGAGCACTTGGGTTGCACTGGCAACCCAAGCGTACCAGTCGGCATGTAGCGAGAATTTCATGTGCGGCATCGGGAGCAAGTCATTGTTCAAATACGACTACGTATGCATAGTGGAAACATCCGAGTGAGTACGGCTTGTGTAGCATGTCTGGATTATTAGGGAAAGTACACATGCACATGTATCTCATATTGACCCTGTGTGGCAGGTACCCTAACCCGAAGCACACAAGCCTGGTCATCGTAAAAGACCCTGGGTTGCTATTAAAATCTGATGAAGAGGTTAGCGCACAAGAGTCTTAGGGTCCACAGGCTGTGCTCTACGATTCAACTCGGATCCACGTCGCCATGTCTCGCGACGTCTTCCGACACATCAACTGGTGAGTCCTTCGCGCACCTACAATGATGCGTTGTGTGTTTAGTGACCGCATGCTTAGCCTGTTAAGACAATGTGTCAACGTTTGACCTAGCACAAGTCTGCAGGCTATCGGGTGCGGCGCTGGCACAAGCGAGGCCCGGCCTCAAGGCGGCCGATGTGACCAATCGTCTCCGTCGCATCCGCAGCCGGGCATTGCTCGTAAGTCTACCGGCGTAAGGCACACTATTTGCACATTTCCAAGAGGTGTAGGTCGGGTTGAGCGCCCATCCATATATTGCTGACATTCGTCTCGTTTACATGTGCAGGCCAGTCAGGTACCTCAACAAGACTGCACTGTTGACTCAGGCGTATTCGTGTGCCTGTTCTTGTGGGAACTTGTCGCACGGTCTTTTAGGAACCTAGAGCGGGGCATTCCTTCTCCCTCGTACAGCATTGTGACGTATCGGCACGCCATTAGATCCTTGATGTGTGATGCTGGGGAGCGTACACTAGCGGACAAGTTGCACAACAGAACGGTGACGTTTCCGCCAGATGACCATCCGGCTTTGGTCAACGATGTGATCCACGCAGTGCAGCCAGTCCTGGACAACATGTCGGCGATAAGAAAGGCGGTCGCTGAATTAAGCAGTCAAGGGACCCGCCTTGCATCCGTTGAAGGTGGCATGGAAGCTTTGAAGCTTCTGATTACGAAGACTCATGACATATGCGACAACACGGCCACAGCGTTGTCCGCGCTGCAGTCGCCGGGGGACTCTGCACTCTTGCATGATGAGCGCATTGTTGTGGGTGACCGTGGTGAAGGGGATGGTGGTGGCTTGGTAGGTCCTGGGTCAGCGCGTGGAAGAATTCGCGCTTCGCAAGGGTAAAAGAGTACGCGGTACTTCAACTTTCGCTATAATTTATTGAAGTTTCGATTATAAGACATATATGTCTTATCTCATACACACAAATAGGTGTCTTATAATGAGGCTAGCCTGTTTATAAGAGACACTCGTATAGTAGACAACCCCTGTCTACTATTCAACACTGTCTTATATCCGGGTGATGACGGTAATCCCAAAACACCGAGTAGCCCTGTAGCGAGTCAGCCGGGACCCACGTGTCATCTTCGCTTGTACGGTCCACCCAACGTAGAAGGAAATCGACGTGGCGTCCAGCAGGGGTCGCACGAATGCGATGATTCAAAATCTTCCAAGGTTGCAGTGTCGGATCTGCTACCGGTCGGACACTTGGCGTGATGTTGGGTCGAGCGACGTCGGACGGCTGCGGAGCCACGTAGTGGCGAAGCAAACTGACGTGGAAGGCGTCGTGAATCTTCCAGTCGTCCGGCAGAAGAAGTTTCGCCGTGACCGGGGTCAGCATCTGAATGATGCGGAAAGGTCCCACGTAGCGGGGACGCAATTTTGCAGGCTGGGGCAGTCGAAGATTTTTCGTGTCCAGAAGGACCATCTGCCCGTCACGGAAAGGTAAATTCCGTCGATGTCGGTCGGCGTAGCGGCTGGCAGCAGTATTAGCCTTTCGTATAAATTCCGCTGCCTTGTCTTGTGCTGCTTGAAGTTCCGAAACAAATTGCTGCGACCGTGGTACCGGATATTCAGGAGTTGTTGAAGAGGGTACCACCGGTTCTATCCCGTAATTGAGGTAGAACGGCGATTGATTGGTCGTTGCAGACGGGGCGTTATTGTACGCAAATTCGAGCATGGGAAGCGAATCTTCCCACTTGGTGATGTGGGGGCAGTTCGTGCGAATCAACTGCTCCATCGTCTGGTTTGTCCGCTCAGTCTGCCCATCGGTTTGCAGGTGGTATGACGACGAAAACTGCAGGCGGGTGCCGTACTGTGCCCATGTCTCCTGCCAGAACTTCGACGTAAATTTCGGATCCCGATCGCTGATGATCGCCGAAGGTAACCCGTGTAGTCGTACGACGGTCAAGATGAAGAGCTTCGCTGTTTCTTCGGCTGTGATCGTCGTACGGCATGGTGCGAAATGCGCCATTTTCGTTAAGCGGTCGACGACGACCAGCACCGAATCGTTGCCACTTGCGCCAGCTGGCAGTCCGGTGACAAAGTCCATTGTCACATGTTGCCACGGTCGTTCGGGTGGCTCGAGAGGTTGCAGCAATCCAGCTGGGCGTTGGCGTGATGCCTTCATTGCTTGGCAGGTCGGGCAGGCGGACACGTAGTGCTGCACGTCCGACGCCATGTCGGGCCAGTAGTAATTCCGCTGCAGCAACTTCAATGTTTTGTCGACGCCGAAATGCCCGGAGAGATTGGAGTCGTGTACCTCCTGCGTCAGCAATTCTCGTAAGGGTCGGTAGGAAGGTACCCAAACTCGGTTGGTACCAACTTTTAGGTAATAGCTCCCATGCGCCGTGGTGACCCTTTGGTGTTCGTTGGTCCTGAAAAACCTGTCAGTCATGTAGCCATGCTTGAAGATTCCTGCCAATAAAGGGTTAGAATGGGCGATTAGTACTGCTGCGGTCTGCATTGATGGGCGGGTCAGGGCGTCGGCGATGTTGTTGGCGCCCTTTTTGTACGTGATGGTGTAGCTGAATAAGACACTCGAGGTAGTCGAGCCAGCGGATTTGTCGCGGGTTGAGTTGTGGTTGGCTGCGCATGTACTGTAATGACTTGTGGTCTGTCCTGATCGTGACGTCGGCTCCCGTGAGATAACAGCGCCAGGTACGAAACGCATGCATGATGTCGAGCATTTCTTTGTCATGTACAGGGTAGTTGCGCTCGGGCGGCTGCATTTTCTTTGACTCGTACGCGATGGGTTGCAGCCCGTTGCCGAAGTCCCGTAGGAGGACGGCGCCGACGGCGAAATCGCTGGAGTCCGTCACGACTTCGAACGGTCGAGATGGATTTGCCAGACGAAGCACTGGGGGTGAACTCAATTTTTTCTTAAGCTCGTCGAAGGCCATCTGCTCTCTCTCCCCCCAACCAAATTGCACGCCCTT